CACCTCCCCCCCACACACACACTCCACACACTCACACACACACGCACACACACACACACACAGTTCCATGATCGTCTCTAAGGACCCCTGTCAGCTGAAGCTACAGCTGCCTTTTCCTTCGTTGAGCTGAGCTTCTTAAAAGAGTTGCTCCCACCCCTCCATCCTTGAGCTCACCTCCCACTCCCTCCCCAACCCCAGGCAGTGCCACCTCACCCTCTGCCACTCCACACAGACTGTTCTTGCCAAGGTCACCGCGGCTGCTATCTGTAAACCCCAAGGACACTTGGCAGTCCTGGCCTCACCCACCTCTGGACAGCAGCTCCCCTGGCTGCCCTCCTGGCTGCCTCCAAACCCTACTGTTGGTCTTTCACACACACCCCAAGCTGTGGGCACTCCAATCGCCCACCCCAGGCTCCGGACCCCCATAGCCAACCAACTGCCTCCTGTCCATCTGAGCTTGGTTCTCTCTCAGACCCCTCACACCGGGCCATCCAAAGGGATCGTAGTCTCTTCCCCGCTCATTTGCACTGCCTGCCCCCTCCCAGTTCCCCTTCCCACCGGTTCCCAAAGTAGATACTTGGGAGCTGCCCTGGACTCCTCCCCGCGCTTCACTCCCATGTCCATCATCTCCCATTTCTGTCCGTCTCCTCCACACAGCCACCCCCTCCCCCTTTACCAAAACAGAACAGCCGCCCGGCTGGCCTCCCTGCCTCCCGCTTGCCCTCCTCCAACCCATGCTTCCTCAGTAGCCAGAGAGGCCTTTCTCAGATCCATCTGATCAAGTCAATCCCTCGCTTCCATTATCCTTGGACTGAGTTCAAGCTCCCCAGCCTGGCTTATCTCCTTCCAAATCTGGCCTCCTGACCTCTACTCCCCTTAGCCTTTCTCCTCTGGGGACCAGTGTGGTGCTGGGGGGCTGACCCCTCCCAGTGTCCGCCTTTCCCAAGGTCCTGGACACCAGGATTGGGTCAGAATGTAGACCAGTGACCCCAATGGCCCCATCAGAGGCTACCAACCTGGGACAGAGGCCAGGCAGCTGAGCCAGGAGGACCCTCTGGGGAGGGCACCACGAAGAGATAGGAAGACCTGGTTTCTCAGTGACACCGTTGAGTCACTGGATCAACTTCATCTGAAGCCGCCGAGCCCTGAACTCTTTAGTCACATGAGCCAATGAATGCATTTCCTTGATCGAGCTGGTTCATTCCGTCTCTGTCACTTGCAACCACAGCCTCTGAAAGAATACATCTCTCAACGCCTCCCCACTTGAACTTCTGCGTTGGCCGCGCTCAACAACCTGCTGTGCTGATAGCCGGGAAGCACTGCTCCATCCCTCCTGGCTGATTCCCATTTGCCTTGCAAAGTTCAGCTCAGCTGTCACCTGGGCCAGGACGTTTGCCCTCCCCCCTCCCGTCTCAGCACAAGTCACTGCAAGGCAACCACCTGCCTGTTCACCTAGCTTGTCCCCTCCTGGCAGCTGAGAGTCCGAGAGGGTGGGGCATCTGCCTTCCTCCCCTGGGCATCGCCAGCTCCTCACATGCTCCACAGCAGCTGGCACATAGCAGGTGCTTAACCAGTGTCTGCTGAGTGAGTCAGCGCCAGGTCTGCAAGCACCACCTCCTTCGGAGAGCCCTCCTCGCTGCCCCCAGCCCCTCTCACTCCACCGCCACCTACAGGGCCAGACCCAGGAAAGCCATTGCCGCCAAATCTCCCCTGACTCCCACCAACATATTCGGAGCGCCTTGTCCGCAGAGCCGTGAGTAACGATGGGAAGAGTCGAGTTCTTATAATAATATAACAGCCAATTTCTCTGATTGCCTATTATTTTTTCACAGCTACATCCTCAGACCTCAAATTAGTACAATTACTTAGATGTTCAATAACTGTTGTTGATTAAATTAGTGGATGACTAAGCAAATGAATTCAATGCTTGGAGGTACCAACCACTGTGTGCAAAATGCCTCACTTAGGCCCTGGCCAGGTAGCTCAGTTGGTTAGAGCATCGTCCCGCTATGCCAAGGTTGCAGGTTCAATCCCCGGTCAGGACACATACAAGAGTCAACCAATGAATGCATATATAAGTGGAACAACAAATTGATCTCTCTCTCTCAAAATCAATAAATAAAAATTAATTTTTAAAAAGCCTTACCTAGCCCTAACCGGTTTGGCTCAGTGGATAGAAAATCAATAAATAAAAATTAATTTTAAAAAAGCCTTACCTAACCCTAACCGGTTTGGCTCAGTGGATAGAGCGTCGGCCTACAGACTGAAGGTTCCTGGGTTCGATTCCGGTCAAGGGCATGTACCTTGGTTGCGGGCACATCCCCAGTGGGGGGTGTGCAGGAGGCAGCTGATCGATGTTTCTCTCTCATTGATGTTTCTAACTCTCTATCCCTCTCCCCTCCTCTCTGTAAAAAATCAATAAAATATATTTTTAAAAAAAGCCTTACCTAAATTATCTCATTTCCCCCAGCCCAGCCCTGTGAGGCAGCCTTCTAATTATTTTCATTTTACGGGTGAGGGGTGACTTGCCTAAGATCTCACAGCCTGAAAGTGGCCAAGCTGAGACGGATCCCAAACCAGCGGCGGCCAGAGCCCTGGTGTTCCTGTCTCTGTGTCCACATCCTTTCAGTGAAAACGCTGTTGGCTGTTGCTCCACTCGATGGTACGTGGAGAAGAGCAGACACTCTATTGTCCCCCCTAAGAAGTGTGAGGCTGGGGGTCAGCACACGGACACGCTCGCTGGTCATTGAGGCCTCAGGTGCTTTCGCCTCTCAGCTCTGCCTCTTGCAAAGCAGGTCACCAGGTGGTTGCAGCTGCTCCTAGCACCACCACACCGCCCCCCCCCCCCTGTCGAAGCACAGTCTCCAGAGTGGGAGGAGAGGGGCGTAGGGCAGGGCTTTCTCCTTGGCGTCTTTCTTTCATCAGGGAGAAATACCTTTTTTTATTTTTAACATATTTTATTGATTTCAGAGAGGAAGGGAGAGGGAGAGAGAGATAGAAACATCAATGATGAGAGTCATTGATCAACTGCCTCCTGAACGCCCCACACTGGGGATCAAGCCCACAACCCGGGCATGTGCCCTTGACAGGAACCGAACCTGGGACCCTTCGATCCGCAGGCTGGTGCTCTATCCACTAAGCTAAACCAGCGAGGGCTGGGAGAAATACCTTTCCCAAGAATCCCTGTCCTTTAAGTCAATCCCCAACAGAGGATAGGTGCATAGGATTCCATGATGGGATTGGACCAGCACACCGACCAGGGATCTCCACCCCTCACCTGAGCACAGTTGGAGGTCTATTAGCAAGGAAGACGAAAGCATGGCTGTTGGGTGGGCAGGCACCCTGGCCCCCGCTGTCCACCCTACCGCCCTGGCACGGCACCCTCCTGGCACTCTTATTGGCTGAGCTACAACCAGGAGAAGGGGATGGGTCTTTCAGGCCCACTCCACGTCCTTAAGCTTGGTCTCAGTTTTAGAGCCTCTTCCCTGGCAGACATGGGCTCTGGACCCGAAGTCACGGCCCCAGGTGCCCACCTTCCCTAAGATGAGAACCAGCAGAGAGGGCGACAGCTCCTCCCGGACCACAGGCTCGTGAGGCCCAGTGGTGAGTCTGCAGGACAGATGGCCTGGGACAGACAGACGCGTTGATGGATTTTGACGTTTGTAGCTTAGATGTATTCAGTCATCCATTCGACAAGCATTTATTGCTCGTTGTCTCCTCCAACGCCTCCCTCTCCTCTGGACCAGCAGCTCTGGCGGACAGGTTGCCTGGAGACGGCTGGTGTGGCCTCTGGTCTGCACCTTGCTCTGCAGAAAGGATGCCCAAGGGATTAGTGACGTCTGCCGTGGGCACACAATTGGTGGCGGGAGTCAGAAGGAAAGAGGCTGGGAAACAGAATACATTATGGGCAGAAAGACCTTGGCCCTCAAGACCCTGACATGTTATAGGTTGAACGGTGCCCTCCCCCAAATTCCTGTGTAAGTCCCCACCCCCGGGACTTCAGAATTCGACCTTATTCGAGATGGGCTCCCTCCAGAGGCGATCAGATTAAAGTGAGTTCGCTAGGGCGGGCCCTGCTCCAATGGACTGGGGTCCTTATGAGAAGGGGAGGTTCAGACACAGGCCGCCACGGAGGGAGAAGGCCAGTGAACAGAGATGGTCATCACAAACCACCCTTCTCTCACGGCCTCAGAAGGCCCCCACCTTGCCAGGCCCTGATTTCAGATTCTGGCCTCCAGGCCGTGAGATAAGTTGCTGTGGTTTAAGCCACCCACTCCGGGATCCTTGGTCACAGCATTCCTGGGAAATACACGCGGGGCCGTGGCCTCTGGGCACAGCATCTGGACAAGGGCCTGCAGAGGCTGTGGGCCCCAAAGCCAGGACATCCCAACCCCCTCCCCGGCTGGCCAGGGCGGTGGACTCCATGACCACCTGGGCCCCTCACCTTCCTGAGGCCAGCGAGGCCACCAAGGGTCTCCTTTGACTTCTAGCGCCAAGGGTGGTGCCTGAGGACCTTGCAGTTGAGAACCACGAGCCTCAGAGTTTGATGGGAGCCTTGTATCTTTCAGGCAGCAATGGTGCCGCCTGACAAGTGGCCCTGACTCTTGCTGCTGTGAGTCCAAATCTCAGGCGTGATTTTACTGGGTGGTTCTGCTCTGGGGTCTCCCA